ATAATAACACCACAGAATGTAATATGGGAAAATACTTGTCATTTCCTTAAATTCACATCCTCCCTGTGGCCTAAGAGCACTCGTGAAGGTCTGGCGTAGTGGTTAAGGTGTTGAGACCCATGCGAGCTGGAAACTGTAGTTCAGGGTGAAGGTAAAAACATTTCGAGAGGGAAGGCTATGCGAAATTCATCTGCATTGTGACGTCTATTCAGTTAATTATACGAAAATGGAAATAAGAACTTCATTTTAAAACACCGAAAATTCAATTATCAGTCTCACATCATATGTGACATAATATGATTAAAGTTCTTATTTGCTTAAAATTAAGTCCTATCCACAGACTTTCTGATTTCGTATCTGCTACTTACAATCCGACCTATCGTCTACGTATTTTCAACAGAATGTGGGGAAATTGTAATTACTTACCCACTGGTAGATGTATCGGTTGCCTGTATCTCAAAATGTGGGATCTCAGACTGATCACACGCAGACAGAGCGAGTTCAGATAACATGCTAACGGAAGATTCTGCGACCTCCTTTATTTGATTATCTGCTGAATTTAACGGTTCTGAAGACACTTCCGTGCTGTCGAGTGGCTTTGAACGTATTTCCAAATCCAGAGAGTATCTGCATTTCGGTTGTAAGTTCAAGTCCTCAATCATCCCAGAGATTAGTAAAGCATCTTCTCTTAACGTTTCCGAACTGGGTCGAATCGAGGATTGGGGCGATTCGCTTTTCAGCTTAATTTCGCATGACGATGAACCTGGATCTCCATCGCCTCTAGCTTTGAGAAGCTGATTTGTTTCGTCGAAAGCTGAATTGTTCGTCTGCTCCTTCACAACTGATGCGGTTTTTATCTCGGCCTCCTCAATACCAGCATCCTTAAAGGCGTTTTCACGAAAGGAGATAATTCCATCAGTTTTGCCTTCTGCGCCGTCTGAACGCTCCTGCGTCAAATGGTCAGTATTGCACGGACTACAAGGGTTTAGTTGCCAACCTGACTGATTCTCTGGCGGTACAAATCCTGAATACTCCGGCTCAGTTGGCATGCTCAAGAGACCATTTGACTGAAACTCTTCGGTCCCAGAAGGCAGGTCAGTATGGTTCAGAGTTGGACCGGGATTTGGCTCAAGCGACTTCTTCCCTTCTCTCTCCGGCCTCGAAGACCTCTTCGTCTCCGCAGGTGGCACGGCAGGCTTACGCGACTTTCTGAGAACGCCTATTTGGTCCACCTGAAGCACACTTTCGCTCGGCTTGCTACAGGCGTCCCGAGCGATGGCTGCCTCCACCATCTCCTTCACGGCAACAGTTGCCACGTATTTTTGTTGAGCTGCAAGTCGCTTGGCTTTTCGACGTTCGTTGTCTCGGTGAAGAATAACTATCTGCTTGTTCTCCCAGCGCCTTCTGGCCTCGGCACGTAGGGGCTCAATGACGGAGGAAAGGTGAGCGCGTAAGCTGAAACACGTTCAACGAAAAAAGTATAATTGTACTTAAATTACTCCCAAAAATCGATATGAAAATAAAAATAACAAAACACTGACAAAAAACCTTCATTGCTAGCCTTGCTGGTCGGAGGCTTGAGTTCAACGAAGTTCTGCATCATACCGGCCCTGCTTATCCCCTCTTTATCTTCATCTACCGACCTGATTGGTTGTTCCCACTTTGGTTAATGTTAAAATGGCTGTCTCAAGTCGGAACTCAGAACCGGGCTGATTGGGGGTCGCTTGGGCATAGTCAAACTTTCCAACTTTTGGATCAAAAGGAGCACTTACTAGATTTCCGGGCTCAGGTAGGCAGTCGTAGCCAAGACATTT